CTCAATACAGTCTGGCTCTGGGCTCCAAATATGTAAATTAAAAGGAAGCGTGTATACACTTTCGTCGCGTGACACCTCTAGTCCGATACGCGACAAAATAAAACCGAGTCCGGTTGATCGATTTGTCGGCCGGTGTTTGCGTAACGTGAATTGCACTTCGGTAACAATCGAAACACACCTCTCCGCTCGACGGCCGTTGTTACGTCAACGCCACTTGTCATTCGGGCGTTAAACTGTTCTGTAGCAACGAGAGTGTATACCTACGGGCGGTTCGATTGTAAGGGAACAAACTGTTTTTGGAAAAGGTGCAACCGGCTTTGTCGAGCTCGATCGATCGGGATCATTTCCGAAGCAAAACGGTATTAGAGATAGGTATAGTGTGTCATAATTATACTGCGGAAGTTTATGCGAATTTACAATTTTCGACAACAATATCTACAAAATGAAATGGTAGCAGAATTTTTTATTCTGTACCAGAAACTTCACTACGTTAGTGATAGCATATAATTGAAATTCATTTAAATTTATTAATTGCAAATTTAAATGGATATTATTGAAATTTATTACTTGCGAATTTAAAAGAAATTGAGGGATAGAAGTATGAGAAGTATGAGTATAAAAATGTGTCTTAGATAGCGAACGTGAAATATTCTAATGGATGAACAGAATGCGAAACGATTAGTATGGTAGGAATAAGTGACATTGAAAAATGGGGATAGTTTAAATATTAGAAACGATGTATGTTAGAAATTTTAACAATATGATTTATGAGGAAGATGGAGACTGTTATAACAGAAATATTAGCCATGAATATTTATGACTAGACTGCGGGAGTTTATGCAAATTGAAAATTTCAGACAGTAATATGTAAAGATTAAAATGGAGCAGAATTTTTATTTCTCTGCCAGAGGTTTTACTACGTTAATAACACAGAATAGTATTAAACATCATTAAAACTTTTATTGCATCCCATTTTTCAAGTTGAAAGGCGCTATAAATGCATAAACATCCGCAGTCTGTTTATGACTTTTTGATCTGATCATCGGTTTAATTGATGCAAATTATAGGGATCATTAATTGTTAATTAAATATTAAGCATTTTTTTCCTTCGCAATTAAATTATTACAACACGCATAAAATCGTATTACTCGAACACTTTTATTGGAAATAACTTATCATGAGATAAACGAAAACCTAAAAACTTACCAGCTGATACGGTAAAAAAACGAATATGTAAATATTAAATTTTCTGAATTTCTTCTTTGAACCTGCGCCAGTGGTTTATGCCAATTTATCAAAAATAATTTAATACCTTCAAGGAACAGAATTAATTGGATTTAATGGTCACTATGCGCGACAGGTCGTTAACGCGTCCAGGAACAGAAAAGAAACAGCGAACATTCGATTTACTTTCATCTCATTCAATTTCCACGGAGTTTTTTCTTTTTTTCGATTTGAAATTCAAGCAAAAAAAAATCTATGTTTCTATGGTCGTAAATCATCTCCCAGTTACTATCGCATAAATTGAAACACGAGACCCGATGTGTTTCTCGTCTTAATTGATACCGCCATAGAAAACGTGAAAGTTTCGCGATCTATCGCCGGTAAAACCTACAAACAATACAATTACCGTCCGTGAAAAACGCTCCATCAAATGTAAATTACAGAAATAATTGTTTAAGGGAAATTATATATTATTCTTGGTATCGATTTGTAAAACACGATTAAGGGATTAGTCTACTTTGAAGCCCAAAAATAAAAGCTATTGTTTGGTAATTTTTTTTCCGAGAATAATGGAGTAAATGGGAAATCTAGTAAAAGATATTTATTGTACATATCTTCGGGCATGCGAAAAGTTTTTTTTACAGAACAAAATGGCGACGCTGAGGCTCAGGCCACGTTGGCCGATTTTAAATGAGCATTTAATCGGAGTGCAGAATAATTTGGAAACAGCTGGACGTAGAACGAAAAGTGCAACATTCTACATTCTATATGAAATTTACTAAAGAAATACCAAGGAATTTTTAGAAATATGATTTTGTGTGCAAATATCGGACTTTTGAGGAAGAAAATAACGTTTTATAAGCGAAACATCTTGTATAAAAATGTCTGTAGCAAAAAATGTTTCCAATATATTGCAAATCCCCTAAGTACTTCCTTAGTAAATTTCGTGTAGAATATAAAAATGTTTCGTTTTTTGTTCTTGGTCAAACAGTTTTCAAGTTATCCTGCACGCCGATATTAGATACTTATCCAAAAGCAGTCAAAAGTGGATCAATCTCAGCGTCGCCATTTTGTTCCCCCCCAAAAAAAGAAAATTTGTTTTGCGTACCTAAAGATGTGTACAATAACTGTATTTTAACAGATTTTCCATTTACTTCATTACTTTTGCGACGGAAATTGCCAAGGAACAGCTTTCATTTTCGAGTTGAAAAGTGGGCTAAACCTTAATGACGTCTCTCTGTAAAAATATATCCAGTTCGTTTCACCAACCGGCGATAAATAACGCGTGCGATACATTTTACAACGAATCAATAACACCATATACATCGCAAAGTAGTTTAAAGTGTATTTAATAAATATACGGGATTGTTATATGACGTTTATTGAGGATTACCGATAGTTGGAACGATATTAATTGCAACATTATTAAGGCCACCGCTCCGCGAACGGGTTATCTCAATCAGAACAGCAATTTCTGCTGGCCTTTGTGAAGATCTGACGATCAGTATTAAAGTAAAAGCCCAATAACGAAGGCCTCTCGAGCGTGAAGAATGAAAAAGAAAACGTAAAATAATGTTTTAATTTTCATGCAACCGTGACACGTTTACGAGCCCAAGGAGTCCTGGGATCGACGCAAATTATACGGGAAAATCGAAGTATGTACGATATATCTTTGGTTATCGATCGATCATGATTAAACCGCGGACTCTACTGTGCATACTGTTATTCTTTAAATGTACAAAGTACAATAAATCTATATTTTTCAATTTATATCATACCCTTATTTACTATCTTTTTACAACCTTTTTCCTTTTTTTCAATACATTCTACCAATAACTGGAGAAAAATACCTGTTCACCGGATGAAACGATTTTACCTACGTCGATTAAAAGAAAGTAACGAAAACAATTTTTTAAAGTATTTAATAACTTCATTTTTCATCCTGACTCGATGTATCCAATAAATTTACCATTTCTGTGAAAAATTAGGTTGTTGTTTTTTTCGTAGCCTTGGTTGATTTATGCGTGTCCATTAAAGCAATCGACGGAGAAAATGAAGTTAACAACCTAACGTAATCAATGAAAGTCCGAAATGGGTTACGCTTCTTGCTTTTAATATTCCGAAAGTGCAAATCGTCAATTTTCCATTCCATGAACATTCACTTGACTTTTCCACTCGTAATTTATACGCTTCGCAGAAACATTCGTACTATTTGTAACAACTCATTTCACCGTGCTACTTCTATTAATAATTAATGATTGCTTATAATTTTAAATGAACTCGACTACTGATTTCAGTTCAGCCACGTATATCACGTAATGTCCGGGAACGATTATTTCTTCTTTTTATATTTAATTGAAATTTCGAGAAAGTTTTCAAGGGACAGGAACAAAGATCGTAAGGGAATACGTTAGAAAGGTTACAATAAAAATAACAGTTACCTGAGTCAGAGAAAAGTTAAACTACATTCAAGTGTGCACAACTTTCGTAAATCAATATTTCTTTATCTGAATCTATTTTTGTGGATATAAATATTAGTTTTCGTTTTTTAAGTGAAACAACAGCATTTTTTTAATATTTTTTACACAAATAATGTATAAAAAGTTAACAGAAGTTATGTAACGTTGCGATATATTCGTACTTTCGAGTCTTTGATTGTTTCTGAAACCAAACGTCTTGATGTACCACGACGTTGTACAACTTCTGTTGACTTTTTCTACGTTATTTATATTATTTTGTAACATACTTTAATCGTTCGATTTGTCACTATTCATCCTAATGAAAAATATCTATGAATGTTATATTTAAAAAACAACAATAAGAAAAGGTAATATCCATTTCACCGAAAAAAATGCAGACAAAGGAATTCTGATTTATGAAAATTATACACACTTAAATATAGTTCAACTACTGTTTAACAGCATTTTTTTGTAAAGTTCAAGGAAAGTTTTGAAATTTTGTGGCGACACTTACGTGGAACACCCTGTATAATCGGTCCCTTGAAATTAATTCAAAAATGGAAAGAAATCGTGAAAAAAAAATAGACTTTGGTTCTACTAAAAGAACGCTTATCCGGAACAGATTTATCTTCCCGTTATTTCGGATAATCGGTGATTCTACTATACGTCAGTTTAAAAAAAGAAGTTATTCCATCCAATAAACATACATCTGTAAGATGTTTCATTTCCAATCATTCTACGACAACATTTAGACTATGATTCTTCCGGAACGATTATCAGAAAAGACGTAATATTTCAAACGGATTTTACTGTATACCAAACTTTCATCCGACATAAACATTCATCTGTAAAAGATGTTTCATTTCTAATCATTCTAGAACAATTAAACTTTGGTCCTTGTGGACCGATTATCCGAAAAACGGCACATTTGAAACGGATTTTACTGTATACCACTTTCGAAATAAAAAACAGAAATTATTCAATCTTTCATCCGACATAAACATTCATCTGTAAAAGATATTCCATTTCTACACTACTTTCGAAAAAAAAAAAAAAAAAAAAAGAAATTATTCCATCTCTCGTCCGACAAACATCCATTTGTAGAAGACGTTTCATTTCTAATCGTTCCACGAGAATAATTAAGATTTCAGTTCTCCCAGACGGACTATCCAAGCAAACCGCTTAACCAGAAGACTCTACTTCAGATAATCGACGGTTCTACTGTAATACAACCACCAAAAAAGAAAACACCCAAAAAACCAGCCCAAACAAAAATGTAAAGACACAACAAAAAAAAAACGAATTAATGTCGCTCACCCGTCGCGTATTGGGTCTGCAGCAACAGCCCGATCAGTGAAATCAGGACGTAATAGTAGGTGTTGTATCGGGGTGCCGTGATACCCCGTCGCAGGTTCGTCATCTCAGGCGACCCCCGCCAGGTGCCCCGTTGACCTGCCGCCGCGGTCTCCGCCGTTCCTCCGTGAACCACCGCCTCCTCCTCTTCCTTCTTCGGCGTCTTTTGCCCCACGACTTCCGTCTTCGGGCCCGGCAGCAGCACCGCGCCGCGTAGTCCTCGTGCTTCACATCTCATCTGCCTCCTGGTGGTCGATTCCTCTCTCGAGCTGGCGAGTACACGACAACGATCCAGAACTTCCGCCTCCTCTTTATTATCGTAGACCAAGGAAAAGTATATTCCGCTCGATTCCTCTAACGCCGCGTAGTAACCGTCCGACACCTCTTAACCGTATCCCTCGTCATTTAACACACAACTCCCCGAACACGATCCTCGCTGGAAAAACGTTCGATCGTTCACGCGCACGATCCTCTTTTCTTCTTCCTCCCCGCTCAAACGTGCGGCTCCTTTCTACACGAAAACGACTGGTTCACTGGATCATTTATCCTATTACAATTCTTTTCGTTTTTATCGTCTCATGTATCCCATCTGTCAATATGAAAACGGGCGTCACACGACGGAAATATTCGGTGTACAAATTATTATCGATACACCCAGGGGAGGATCCTCGAGGCGTAATTGTCCTCGAATCCTCCACGATCATCCGTACACGAAAACCGACGACGAAAATGAGGAAACGTTCGCGGGTAAAAAGGATATCGTAGATCACAAAGAAAAAGGCGGGCTTTTCACTCGACGCGTCCAGACGAAATGAAATACCCCGCGTGCGCGCGCGATAAATCGTAGTGTCCCCGCGTGCCCGTGTCCTGAATCGAGTCGAGCGTGTGTGCCCGCGGTACGATCGTGACGGTTCGACCTCGAGACAGCATCTAACACACCTATCAGGGGTGAAGGATGGATAGCGCGGTGAAACTACTCTTCTTCACCTTCCGGTGAACGCGGCACGGGAGAAACTGCCGAGACAAGCCCCGAAGCCCGAAACAGGCACGCGACGAGACGTGGTCTCGACAACACCGGGGGCCCCCGGCCGTACGGATCGGACAGAGAACGAGGAAGAGAAAGAACGTAAAAAGAGAGAAGGATGCTAAAAGAGGAGAGACAGAGAGATCACGTGTCCGGCGAAGGAAACTCACTGAACATCACACCATCCACGAGGAACACGGAACGGACAGAGAGAGGAACAGATGGCCCTCGTGGTCCGCGGTGAGTACGAATCGATTCGAAACACCTGTAGGAAGACTCTGGGGGCCGGCGGCAGCGTGTATGTTCCCGTTCCTCGTTTCCCCCGTGGATCAGAAAACGATCCCAGGAAAGTGTCTCTGTGATGTCGCACGTTCAACCGAGACTTCAGATTTCTGAATAGTTTCTGTATAGTTCCTCAAGCTGTGTATTTCTAAAAGTCACAACCTGTCGCGTCCTTTTCTTTCAGTCACGGAGCCGATCGTCGAAAGATCGGCCGATCCACAGGTCACATAGGCGCACCAATCGTCCAGCTACCGTACACAGTCATCATCATCCTCGCGCCACAAGAGGACACGCGCCGACATCGATACCGTGGATTCACCGTCTGGACGAAAACAAGCCAGACCAGGGAAACGATAAACACCCGTAGAAGGTGTGTAAACCCCGTGATATCGACGAAATTCCAAGCTGTCGGTCAGGGGAGGAGATGAACCTCTCGACCTGCCTCACTCGTTGACTGACCGATGATCCTCTAGATGTTGATCGTTCGACAATCACTGACAGAAATCCCCCTTATCCAAGCCCAGATGCCTCCTTCTTCAGGGCCAAACGTGACAACGACGACTACACGCGTCGTCGTCGTCGTCTATTCCGATCTCTGTTTCCGAGGAGGACCGGTGACGAACTCCCCGCGGTTCTGCCAAGCAGCGTTATCGCGTGTAGTTGCGGGCGCGCGGGATTCGTCGATGGGAAGCAAACCAAGCGCGCACGAGGCCGCCCGACAGACTGAGAGTAGCAGTCGACAGTCGGCAGGCAGCAGCGGCAGCGGCAGCAGCAGCAGCCAGCCGAGCCGAGCCGAGCCAGCCAGCCAGTCAGCCAGCAAGCAACCAAGCAAGCAAGCAACCAAGCAAGCAGAGGTGTTGTTGTATATACAGAAGGCGGGACTGAGAACGACGACGACGTTTCCCCGTGTGCGCCCGTGGTCTGGCGAAGCTCTGCAAAAGCGGTCTGCACACGCGGACCGCCGAGCTCTGTTATGTTGTGTCCCCACTATATTCCCTTCTTGGAGCAGCGCGATCGCGGCGGCTACAGCGGCTGCGGCTGCGGCTCGCCTATCCGGCTCTGTGTATGCCTCTCTCTATGCCCCCTGTGCGCCGCGGTTCTCTATGTCCGCCTGTTTGTCCGCCCGGCTGTCTCATGCATGCATGCATGCATGCATGCATGTTCAGTCTCTCCTTCTCCTCCTACTCCACCACCACCAGAACTGCCACCACCACCACCACCACCACCACCTCCACCTCCTTCTCTACCACCTCTTTCCTTTCCTCCTTCTCCTCGTAGCTTCTTTGCGTTCCTCCTGCCCTTCACCAGCCCCCCTGAACCACCGTCTTCCTTCCTTCCTCTCCTCGATGCTACACACCGCGCACGTCCCCTCTCCGTTGCGTTCTTTCCACTCTCCCCTGTGAGCTCCTCCTACGCCTTTCCTTCTGATCTGTCTCTCCTTCCCTGACTTTTTTTGTCCTTTCTTTCTTTCTTCTTGGTCTCTTCCTTCTACTCTCCTACTTCCTCCTTTGGTATTCGTTATTTCGCTCTATCTGATACCAGGCAGGCTTTTCGTCCTTCCGTTTCTTTTTTTTTTGTTGTTGTTTTTTTGTCTTCTACAACATAGGATGTGTCTCCGTCTCTCTTGGTATCTTCGACAGAGCACCTGGGAGAGATCGCTTGGAGGGTATCGGTCTTTGGAATCGTTCGGATATATCCGTTTACTTCCGGTATTCCTTTCCGGAGAATGGAATTATCTATCGCGGGTCGATTCGATTGGAGGAAGTAAATGATCGGTGGGATGTTGGGTTTTTTCTTTTCTTTTTTTTTTTTTGCTGCAAGCGGTGTATTTTTAGATGGATTGAATCTTCTCGGCTTGTTCCCGATGCATAAATTGTGTAAGGATTTTCGTAAAGAAAAGAACGAAAAAAGGCGTGTGTGTGTGTGTGGTGTTACGAGTTCTCTCTCTCTTTGTTTTCGGAACGGAGATGCACCCGCGAATACACGCGACCGATCGTTAACATTCGACGACGAATTTTTCGGAACGATTTCGCTGTTCTTTTTTTTATTGTTTTTTGGTATTCTCGGAACAGGACGGAGGTTTTTGAAAGCGATAAAAAATGTTTGAATCAGAGGTGATTTCGGTGTAAACGAAGTATCGAGGCAACGATGATGTTTGATTCTCTCTTCTCTTCTTTCGATTGTCTTTTTAGTTTTTTTTTCTCGTTTACATGTTGGATATCGGGCAAATATTAATTTTTCGGTTGTTAATGGAAAAGGAGATCCGGTAAGGAATGTTTCGGAGTACTTCGTTCGATGACTTCTTCGATCTGTCCTATTGGTCTCATCTTTGTGACGAAGTAAATACGTTTTAATCGATCGTTTGTATTAGTAATTCTTTCGGCATTTAAATTTTTATACTTTTCTGTGTTGTGGTTCGTCGTGTTGTTTTTTACGAAATTTAGAAACAAACATAAAAATTTCGAAAGTTGTTGCAGAAAACGAGATGCACAAAATACTCGATACAGATGTTAATAAAAAATACCACCTGAAAAATTTGCTTAACCCTTTAACTACGGGTATATACAATTCATGACACTAGTCGTCCAAACACAAAAAAATATGTTAATAAGTGATACTAATGAAAATAATAAATTAAAACATAAATAAGCAAATATTTGTTTCGTAGAAAAAAAAATTAGTATAAATATAATGCATACTTAAAAATTGCTTACTGACAACATTCGTGTTTCATAAAATTTTCGTTTCGTCCTCTATTGACAGCAGTCGTAGTTTAAATGGTTAACAATGGGATCACTTAACTCAACCCTCTCCGCATCATCGATTACCAACACGTAAGTCTCAATAATAAAAAATTAAAAACGAACACAGCGAACAAAATTCGAAAAAAAGAAAACTGTCACGTACGGAACAAAACACATAAATAAATACCGGCACAGTATACAGTACGTAAACGCACCCGTCCCACTGCTCGTCTCACCTCACCCACTTCCAACGAAGGGTAAACACTGACTGAGCACCCTTAACCCCAAGAAATCTCATTGGGAACTCAGTTTCACGAGACAGGCGAGATACTATTTCTTCGATACATTGTCGGTAAATCTCGATTCGATAATTTCCCCCATTTGTTTCATCGATCTCTATCTATCAGGTTGGTGTACACAAGACGTCATTGTCACAAATGAACTTTACCCACCGGTAATTACCTCGAAACAGCACATATTTAATCGAAATAATTTCCACACGATTATTGTACACTTTTTCCAACGGTTAATTAATTTCACTGTTCTTTCCAGATTTATAAAAATGTAGTCCCAAGTTGTGGTAAATGATGTTGCAGATGTCAATTAAACAGTCACCACAGATTTTCTTCGAATGAAACGGTGGTTTTTTTAAAAATGTTTTTTAGATTTTTGTCCTTTATTAAGGTATGAACGTTTTCGATTATCATATAAGATCAACCTTTTGTAATGAGTGACGATACGTTTCAAAAAAAGGCAATGTTTATTGCCATTCGTCTATCTAAACTTCTGTATTATTAATCTGTCCATTTTCTTGATATTTCCCAATTGGAGCCAAGTGACGAGTAACCGTAGGAAATTCTATTTCTCTTGTCGTTCGTTGTGGATTACTTTCAACAGTATTTCTCAAAATATTATCGTCGATGGCAATCTCTGTCCTCTTGATACATTTACCAACAAAAAATCACCAGCCTTGAATTTCACTAACCCCAACCGTTGAACTGTCCCAACGTCTACATAACTTTAATTTATGTTTTCCATCAACTCTTGTGACACTTCCCTCAAATTTAAACGCGTATCCACAAAAAAAAGTCACACGAACATTCCGATTTTAAATAAAAACAAAAACATTACGATTATTCATAACAGCTGATACCGAAGTTTACAAGATTTCTATTATAAGTCCCGTTAGTATTCAAAACCACGTGTATTACAGCGTCACTCCTTTTTTAAATATGGTTTAAAACACTATAGAATCAGACAAAGCAAATGGACATTGTTATTAGCCCGAACGAATCCAGAACTCCGCAAAGAACAACATAAATCTACTATGCACCAACCTACTACACTCAACCCTCCTATAACAAGGTACTCTGGGAAGCACAGTTCCGATATACCAGGCTACAAAAATTGGAACAGCCCTCCTACAACACGTTTTGATATAACCACGACTCAACAAAAATGGACAACCATCGTATACCACGCCTGTTTCCATCGCACTATTTTTAATTGACATAAACAAGAAATTCCCCTTGCAATGCAAAACAATGCAAAGTCTCTGCATCCAAATCGAATTAACCGTTTATAGAAAAAAAAATGACTCTATAACCGTGTTATAGAAGGGTTAAGTATACTTGATTTTCAATGGTGACTCGCGCCCCCTCAAGAAGGACCATCGATAATCACGATTGACGTTCGAAAGTCAAACAAGTGGGGGGATGGAACCACGTCGAAAGTCCAGCGGGGCCCAGTCGAAGTCGAAGAAGAGAGCCCAATAGAGCGGGGAGAAGACGAAAATCTCGAGAGCCTGACACGCCGACGCGACAGGTTAGAGTTGTCCGGTGACGATAGAGGGTTGTACACCGACCTTGCCCACCGTCCCGTTGGCAAAGTGCAATAGTAATTGGTGGATGCACCGGTGGCACGTCTCTCTTTTATACCGGGCGGCCACGAGAAAACGGTACCGCCCCCTTGGCCACGTGACGATACCTTCGCGGCCGGACCTACTACGCGCTTCTTGCAGCGCATCCCCTTCAAACGGTACCGGAACCCCCACTACGTTACCGTAACACCCTTCCTTCCTTCCGTTCTTCCTTTCGCGCCGTTTCCTTCTTCCGTCTACGCTTGCATGGTAATTGCAGTTGGTTAAGTAAG